GCGCTTATAGGGCATATTCGTAGTGGGACGTAGAGCGACGTTGTTTTTTTGAAAAACCTAGAAGTTCTCCGCCCTCAAACAATGCCACTTTATATTCCACTACGAATATCTACGAAAAATTAAGAATTTCTAAGATTTTGTCTCTCAATCTATGTAATTTTTCTGCTTTGCTATCTGGGTAAGTTCGTTTTGTAATTATTCTTTTGCCATAAGATACCACGGACTCTTAAAATTTTAATCTAAAGTGACGTTTTGTGAAACAAAGATAAAAAAGTAAATAAACTTTAAGAACGTTCTCTCTCTCGTGAAACGCGTGTGAAAAATTGTATATTATATTCATACACGAGTGACGTTAAGTAACTTGACGTAGCGAACAATGCATTAAATTTACGTCTATAATTACGTGTCTGCGTTCCATTCGATGCTGACAGCGCTCTTGGAATTATTTCGTCCTTGTTGTTTATAAAATTTAAACAAGGACAAAATGATGCTCGTAAACGTCGTGAGCGCCAAGCCGTCAAATGGAATGCAGCTGTCTACACGTGTCAAGGAGAGTACAATAAGAGAGTACGATGTGAGTCGTACGGGCGAATCACCGGCCTGGTAACAGCACAGCTGATGGTGGTGTAATCTGAAACCCTTCGCTGTGAGAAAAAAATTAACGAAAAACAAGAGAACGTGAATGAACGCGTGCGTTTGAAATGTTTGAATGTGCCGCAAACTGAGTGGAACGACGTACAGTGCGTGTTTCGCAAACGCGCGAGACGGATCGACGTTGTAAACCGGTGGCTCGCAACCAGGAATACATGGTACAAATAACACACATCGAGGATCGAGGAATCCTCCATTGCGTAACGAATCGACGTAGCGGCAAGAGAGAGAGAGAGAGTAGAAATAGAAAAAAAGAAGAGTACGCTCGTTAAAGCACCAGACAGCTGCTTTATCTGTGATTCACGCGATATCGCGAAGTGCTCCTCGAGTGTGTGATACGTACGCAGCTCAATACGATCACAGCAGGACGATTGGCTTACAATTAGTTCAAAGTACAAGGATTCGGCTGCGTTGCACGATCTTGGTTAAACCGTCGCGCGGGATGTTGCATCGCTCCGGAGCTCCGGTCTAGTCCGCGAAATTCGCGTCCAAGGTAAAAGTTTCATTCTCGTGGCAGGAATGATTATCTAACGACAAGCGTTGCACGCGTCTTGAATCTCTCACGTTGATTCTCCACGTTGCATTCCATACAGTTCCTAGTACTTATCACTTTGATCAAACTCTAATTAGCTTGATCAGCGATAAATTCGACTCCATCGTATAGCTGTAAACTGAACTAATTTCGCAAATTCATTGTCCTTGATCCTAATTTTCTTTTTCACGTGTTAAACGACTAATTAATCCATCCATATTAATGAGATGTATCTACAATTAGTTCATCCATGTTAACGAGATAATACAAATATTGCTTGATAAGAGTTAATGACTGATTAAGATAGTTTGAGTTTGATCACTCTTTATCTACAAACTAACATTAATCAAGAAGATACAGAATATTATTGTGAGAGTTGAGAGCAATTTTAGATAAAGATATCTTATAATACTTTGTAATACTATTCAAAACATTGTGGGATGTGCAATATTGTTTGCTCTTTTGTTATATAGATATAATTACACAAGATATAATTCAAAGATATAATTCAAGTGAGAGAGAGAGAGAGAGAGAGAGAGAGAGAAGACCACACACACACACACATCTAAATCATGTTGCAAAACATGAATAAGGACCTAGCTCCTATAAAGTCACATTATTTTCTTTTCAATGCTGGTAAGTCCCAATCAAAACTCTTATCTCTAAACTTTATCACTTTAACAACTGTTGTAAAAAACGTTTCTTGTGTTCTGTATTAATTGTATTTGTTTTATTTGCAGCGACAGGACCAATGGTACAATTTTTACCAACAATAGGAAAGCAATTGGGCTTCTCCGCGACAGTGATCGGTACAATATATACAGTATTACCAATTTCTGGGCTGATCGCAAAGCCGCTGTTCGGAGGTCTGGCTGACAAGTTTAAATTGCATAAAACGATTTTCTTGATATTCGAAGCTATACTGGCAATAGCGTTTTTCTCTATTTATTTCATTCCTGGAATAGACAAGAGTGCAAAAGTTACTCTAATCTGCGATAAAGATGTGTCATACTTAGAGATTTGCCCGCAGACCGAATTCTCAAAGAAGGCGTTAAGCGCCGTAATATTAGAAAATATACATGCTAACACAGTCTGTCAGGTGTGTATAAATGTAATTTTATTCTATTATTTCTTTGTATCAAATAACTAGTATATATGAACGTAATCATTCGTGTCCATAGTTGTCTTGCAAAGGAGTATCTCACGGCTTCTTAGAACTGTCTGGCAAAAATATTTCTACGAACAGCACATTCGAGTTTGGTGCAGGATTTGATATATATCAAGATTTGCTTGTAAGAAATTTATTGTGGGATTTTGTTATCCGCTTCTCACAGGAGTAACATGAGATTCTATTGCGAAAAATAATTTGCAGACGAAGAACTGTGTGAATGTGAGACTACGTACGTTTCTTGATGACACTGCACATGTGCCAGTATGTGGAAATCAGTTGAGAACTTGGTGTACAGCAACTTGTCACAATAATAGTGCGTTCAATCATCTTCTGCAAGAAGCTAAGGATTCGCAAAATGATATGAAACATTCTACGTATCAGTTTCATTTATTTCTATGGGCGGCTATCATCAGTTGGATTGGAATGGCTGTTGTAGTTAGCATAGCTGATGCCATCTGCTTCGATCTCCTTGGTTTGTATTATGTATTATACAGATAATATTGATAATTACGGTTATTTTTACATGGTTCATGTTTCAGGTAATGAAAGAAGGAATGATTACGGGAAACAGAAGATGTGGGGCAGTCTCGGTTTCGGTATTTTTGGTATAAGCGCAGGTTACCTGATAGATCTTTCCAGCAAGGGACAATACGAAAAAGATTACACTAGTATATTTTATATTATGCTAGTAGCCATGTTCGCTGATATTTTGGTGTCTGCAACATTGAAAAAGGTACAAAAAGCTCTATAAGAGCTCAAGAGCTAAGACTAAGATAAATTGAGACTAAGCTAGAAGTTTGATACTTTTTATCAAAAGAATCCAAAATTGGTAAGTAATGGGGCAGTATTGTTACAGAAAAATCCAGAATGCTCTGCGGACGAGCCGTCGCTATTTCGGGAGTTATTAAGCGTTATCAAAGAAGGAAGGGTATTGGTATTTGCTTGGTGGTGTATAGGCGCCGGAATGTGTACAGCAGTCATTTGGAACTTCCTGTTCTGGTACAGCGAAGACTTAGCGGCCACTTCTCATATCACATGGAGTAAAACTCTGCAGGGTCTGATGACCGGTGTTCAGTGTTTCCTAGGAGAATTACCCTTCAACTTTTTATCGGGCAGAGTGCTGAAAAAACTCGGCCACGTTAACGTCATGAGTCTCGTTTTGCTTATCTATGCAATTAGGTGAAAATTAGATTTTGTATCTTATCGAGTGTATAATTTATTTATATGTTACTAAAATACTGATTTTTAATCCTACAGATTTATGGCATATAGCATTATATCGAATGCCTGGCTGTTTTTAATTCTTGAATTACTCCATGGACCTTCATTTGGTCTGTGTTGGCCAACGATGGTGTCCTATGGTGATAAAGTGACACCATCCGGTACGAAAGCTACCATGCAAGGATTCATCGGTGCTGTTTTCGAGGGAATTGGTTAGTTTTTAGTTTGATATTTTGTATACAATATCTTCTGGTATCTTTGTATAAAATTGTTTGTATCTTTTAACTCGTCTCGACATAAGTTTTTTATTCATTATTCATTTTAGGAGTAGCAAGTGGTAGCTTCATATGTGGTTGGTTACTAGATTCTTATGGAGGTGTTGCAACATTGAGAACTTTTTCAGTAGGTGCTCTTTTGTGGTTAAGCGTCTTTTGGTTAATGGAACTCTTACTGAGGAAGTTTAAAGCCTATCCGCTATATCGAGGCCATAATCGTGAGTATGTCGATATATATACATATATATATATATAAATACATAAATAATAAAGAAAAAATTTTAATGCACCAAATTGCGATTCAGTTAAAAATTGCTTAAAAATGTTGAAAAGATGATGAAACACTATGGAGTTTACATTGAAATTAAGATAGCGAATTTTATATCTTGTATTTTGCATGAATCTGCAGTATTTTGCACTTTAATGGCCATTTGTTTTTCTCTACTTAATGAAACTTAATTAATAGTTCTATAAACCAATACTTCTACTGATTCTTTTTCAGATCTAGCTAATTACGCCAATCCAGATGATGCTATTCTTATGACAATAAGTCAAGAATTACAAACTTATTAGTTTAGGACAATTTTATAATATAATTTTATAATTTTGTAATTTATCCATACATTTCCATTGATAAATCAATGAAAGGACTATCGCACGCGATTGAAATCGAGTTGATTTTTTACTGCATTTGTACAAATGAAAGAAATAGTTATCTTATCGTGATGCTTTGTCTTTTTGTAATATTAAAAAAAATCAGTATTATATATCATACAAAAATGTAAATTATGTCACGTCATTGTCATCGTAATATATACTTTTTTAGAATTACGTAGTGCATTTCTTGTGAGATATATTTACCTTCGTGTTTTCACGCACGATATAATTACATAACAGAATGTCATTGTTGGTATAAAACAGGTAAAATGTTAGGGGTATTAATCAGGATACATGCAGAAATTGAAATTGTCAAGCTGGTCAGCAAAATATCTCAACCATTTATTCACTGTAAATCCATTTTTTCCAAGAGCGGAGATATACCAACACTAATAAACATTGGCTGCATTCAGCAGAACGTTTGTTTTGTAACTGTTGGAAGTTTCCTTCGTACTGATTGGATCATATTTTTAGGTCTAGAAGAATGGTCCTATCTCAGCAGACAATCATAAAACGGTTGCAAAACTGTTGAATCTGCTGAACGCAGCCATAGTATGCATGTTCGATCGCAATCAGCCGATTAGCACAACTTCCTTACGAATCTCGTCTACTCTATCGATAAAAAGCTACAAATAACTTTCTTTCCATTCGTACTGCGATATTAAGTAATGATCGCAGCGCATTCGCAAATATAATCTTCAATAATAATCCCGTATACTGTCTGCCGGCGGTATATGGGAGACTCACATCGCAGTAAACATTTCCGTGGCGTTAATCTTGTTTCGGCGTCGATGATCGTCGAGTGACGGAGCGTAACGGTGAGGTGGTTTGACTGCTACTCGGTATAGGTTCTATCATAGCTTGTAAATTAGGTATTTCACCCGTGGCGGTGTCGCAGCAATCGTTCATGATGATCCCGGCGCCCGGATGGATAAATGCGAGACTGCCCTCGCTGGACGAAGCTAAGCTGGTTGAGAGAGGAGGAGATCGTTCCTTAGGCGATGCCGAGGAAGCGGGATTACCTATGGGCGAAGCGTTGGAATACGTCGCGGTCTCCAATTTACCATGAAGCTCAAGTATACGGCCTTCTAGAAGAAGATTGATTTCCACTTGTGCCCGATACTTGGATTCAACGGCTTCCAATTCAGACGCATGTTGCTCCTTTGTCTCTTGCAAGAGCCGTTGCAGATTCACCAGTTGCGTCTCTTTACGCGCGTCTTTATTTTCTAATTCACTCAAGCGTGCTTTCAGGGCTTCCAAATGTGACGATCGTGATTCCAACTGTCGCCGAGTATCTACAAAAGAATTTTGATAATACACATATTTTTTTCCTTTCGCGCAAAGTATATCATTCTCAAACTTTCAAATGCTTACTGTTTAACTCTTCTGTACATGATTTTTGAATCTGTGCCGTTTCTTGTTTGGTTGTCGGTGAGAGAGTACTTGTGTTTTCTTCTAATCTTAATTGCGCCTACGGGAAAAAGATACGGATTATATGCTATTATGTTCCCATAATGTACAGTAAATATTAATTTATCAAATAATTTTTTCAACTTAAATTTTTTTAAATCAAGTTTGTTAACATAATTTCTTAATTTGAAGAACGAGTTACCTCTCCTAAAAGCACAAACTTTTTCTGCATAGTATCTACAATGTTTTCCAGTTCTTTGCCACGGTCCGCAGCCTTCAATGCTGCCTTAAGCTGATGTCCTGCGTTGAAAAGTTCCGCCTCGACAGAACGAAGTTGTTGCTGCGATTCAGTCGTCTTCTTTTGTTCGTTTTTTAATTCCAATTCTAGATTTTCTAGGCGATCTCTGAACGCATGGCTTTGTCGTTGTTCTTCGACGCACTATGTAATAAGTGATTATTAGTCTTTTCCAATATTTTTTTCTTTTCTGTAAATTTTTTGAAAATAAACTAGATACTTTAGTTTGCCAATGATGCATAGTTTCTTTATATTGTTCTTCAGCCTGATGGGCTTCCCTCTTATTAAGCTCCAATTGCTTTTTCAATTCTTCCACTTCTCTTTCGATCATTTTTAAACGCTCAGTCTGTAAGACAAATAATGTCAACAGTCGCATAAAAGTTTAATAAATATTATGTATAAATTTCCTCTTCCGAAGCTCGTGAGTCTCTTAATTTACCGAGCAGACGTCGATTACGCTCAGCATGGATTTCCCGTCGCTGCCGTTCGAATTGTAGTTGCATTTGCATGAGTTGGAGCGACTGATTAGCACAAGTTGGATCTATACCATCGTCTTCTGCTACGTCTTCTTCCGCATCCTCCTCCCCTTTCTTTTTTTGTTTCTGCCTGGTACCATTTGTTCCTAAAAGAAACTAGTATTTCACTTCACTTATCAGAGATACATGCTATTACATGTTATACACAGATTATTTCATATTTACTCGTTTTACTAGAGAAGCTATTCGTTCTCGTGCAAGCCTCGATATATCGATCGAGCATACTGATTGGTGACATTCTCGAATCCGAACTCTCTTGACTAAAGTTTTGATTGTTCTGATCTAACATTCCTAGCAGCAGATGCTCGTATGGAAATAAATCACACGTTTGACTGCCGGTATCCTCGCGTCCCTTTGCTTGATCCGTCACGTCTTCGCTATAACATTTCTTCTGCATTTCCATGTCCGGACAAGATCTGGAGTGTCGAATCTGCGCACGTAAACATTCTTTTCATTGCTGCTACAATGCAAAACATATGCAATAATCTTTGAAAATCTTTGAATTCTTCGATACTTCACTTTGTGCGTTACGTTTGAATTTGGATCTTCAATTGGGAAATGGCATTGGGAGTACAGTCGAAGATAAATCTTTTGCGATAAATGGGATAGAGTGCCATACGTGTTCCTCTCGCTTCGTGCTTCAGATTGCGCTTCATACTTTGGCATTTCGACTGCTCCATTTCCATGTGAACTGACAATCTCCAATACCTATGTTAGAATATTATTAGATACCACACCATGTCTGCATTTATTCAATACAGGATGTCAGTAAATTGCTCAAACCTCTTGATCTTCTTGCCAAGAATCATTCTTCCCGTTTTGACTTATAGCCATTTCTAAGAGTCTTCCATTTTCTTCGCTATTACTCAATGATTTTTGCGACTGAAAAACATGTTGTCTGTCTACCATTATCTTACTTAGTCTATTTGAAAGAAATCCATGTGTATTCCCTGCAATGTCTGCACTTTTTATTCCAGAGTTTACAGAGGTCGGCGTTGATGGCCGAGAAGATGTGCCATTGCCCAACGCGTTCAGAGCACGCACTGCGCTGGATCCCAGAGGCGCTTGTCTCATTGATAATTTTCGTAAATCCTGTGTAAAATATAGCATACACTTTCGAACGTAGAAGAAAGCAATATTTTAATAAATTTTTGTATACCTTAACAGGAGTTGTTTCGGGGGTAGCTTCTATAGCAGCCTCGGGCGGGGAAGTACCACTTTTATTGTTATTAGGCGTCGGCGGAGCAGAACGTGGCTCATGAGATGCGTTTTGTGCCGGGCTATGCGGTGGCACTGTCATGCTCGGTGACCAAAACGCATCATCTTCCCCATTACTATTCTCCACGGTCGTTACTCCTCCACAAATGTTTATCGGCGCGCAAGTGATGGAAGATTGATCTGTAGGTGCATAAACAAAGTCATCATTTTCTATCATTCTTCGGGAATGAAAGACATAGGTATGAAGATGATAATTAATAATGCTGACCAAGAGGTGGAGTGCACCGAGAGTTAACTACTCCTAAAATTTCCTCCCGACATTTGTCTAATGTAAAACGACCACATTCTATCACAATATCGTGATGTTCCATTTTTTTCCACCTGCGACGCAACAAAAAAGAAGCAACAATGATTTAGGCAACGCCGTATGACACAAAATATGTTTAGTATATATGTATACCTAGTGGCTGAAATTTCTGCATCCTTAGATGCTGTAACAAGAGAAGGGTGCATACGCACAGAATCCAACATTGGTCTAATAGTATGAGTAAATGTAGCCAATTGATCACGCTGAACGTATTGTTGCTTCAGGTATGATATAAAATTGCAAGGATACATCGCGTACAGTCTATGAAATAAGCTGTATAATCCTACCTATAACCAATGGTAAGGTAAATAGTTTACGTTAACGTCATGACACTTGTAAAACGATCGCAAATATTCACCTGCAAATGTATGAGGTACAAATGGTCCTTGTCGATGACATTTGGTACTGTGGTTGAAGTAAAAGGGGTAGAAGGAGAAAGTAAGGATTGATGATGATGATAATAAGAGGCCAAGCGGCCGAATACCTCAAATATTTCTGGCAGATATGGCCCTAGAGCAGCAGGTAACATTGGTAACAACATTACTAACAGAAGAAGGGCACTCATAAGTGGTAATATATCTGTCTCCACCTTAAAAAAATACAGTCTTGTAAAATAGTATGTATACATTTAATTTTTTCCAGAATTTAAAGAGTTATTTTTAAATCAAATATACATATATTCTAAATGTAAAATTTTTAATTAACTCACATTAATAATCATTGACGTATGAAAATTATGTATATACAGCATATAAATTATACGCATCTTAAGTGAATCACACTTATGTTAAAATATACAAAAATGCAGAGTTGACCAATTAATTTTATAAGTTTCATTCGTATCTACATCAATAAATATATAGATAAAAAAAAGAAACAATTAAGAAATATATTACCTTAAGTAATTTGAGTAGATCTCTGAATAAAGCATGACTGGCTAGCTTGTACAACCAAGTAGGCTGACGTCTGGCTATATGCCCAAGCAATGTGAGCGCATGTAATCTCTGTCCACTATTGCCAGGTTTTGAAAGAATGTCTGACAAACGATCTAACAGATGTTTATCATGTGGATCTCGTACACCTGCTAATACTTCTGCTGTCCTCGAAGAATTTGTAGAAAGATAATAATCCAACAACCCATTTACCAGCCAATTGTCTTTTGCTGTAAATGATCCAATGTAGTTTAAAAACAATCGTATTATATCCAACACTACAAAAACGCATGTGTATTACTCACTGCATAAGAAATGATCATGGAATACTTTTTTGGTCTCTTCGACCTCCCCAAGTTTATTCGATTCCAGTAAGTAAAACAGATCGGCGACACCTGCAGGACCGACACTCATCTTGACTTACGGCTTGACTCAAAAGATTCCTACTCTCTCATGGTCCTTCGATAATGACGCTCTGAGCCATCAGTCGTCTGTCACGCAAGACAGGCATTGTCTGCAGTGACGGGGATGCCAAGGTACCTACGGGAAAGAAAATATATAGTGTGAGAAGCAGAGGATCACAGGACAATCCTGAGATCTCGCTGTGTCAGCAGTCGCGGCTGTCAGCGATTAGTGTCCGCAAATCGCTGATCGCGGGAGTCGAGTCGAACGACACGTCAGTTCAATCACTTCATACGAGAACCATACGTCGCGAGAGAGTCGCGCGATCATCCGGGCGAACTGTCAGCACGCGTATATTTTTTACCCACTGCACGACACTCGACGGGAAAGCTTGTCGGTCCTGTTCCGCGTAACCGCAAAACTGTCAATCGCCTCGACGGCGACCGGTCGCATGATAAACCCTGTGGCATGCGCGTATCCACGACATCGGACAAATCCCAGCGACAAGACTCGCGCGTATCGGAGAAAATTAACCAAAGCAACTCACCCGAATCTCATCGAGCACCTCCACAGGCAAATTCCTGGAGTTCTATGGCGACTGGCGAGCTCGGATGGTGGGAAAACCTCCATATATCTTCTTCAGGGTCTCCTTGGTGCTGCCATCTCACCGCTGTACATCTAGCATAAACTTTCGCGTGTCTAGATGAGATCGTCGCCAGAGAGTCTCTGTCGTCGCATATCAAATTGTCAATTATCTCGCGAATTTTTTATCCAATCGATAATTCAAATTACAAAATTTAACGATTTATATAATTTTTTGAATTCCTTTCCTTTTCATCAAGTAAATTCGAACGTTAATAATAAAGTTCGCCATGGCATTCGATAACCCAATAGAAAAATTTTTCTTCTGGGGACAAGGTTTGTCATTAGCTGGAATTCCTAAAGATACGTTTTCCCATTGGATATCAGAAAATAGTAATTGGAAGTTTATACGAAGATTAAAAACTAGGACTAAATTCCGATTAACTTAACATGCGGTTAATCTATTGGTAGATTTTAGAACATTTCAAACTATATCATTATTTCTACTTTAATTTTTTTTTACATATTGCGAATAACAAAATAATACTTTCTTAACAAAAAATAATATTTATTTGATAATTTAATAATAGATCATTGACTTAATCAAATTCAAGCGGCAAAATTGCTTAGAGTAAAATTTCTAATTAATGTATAATTATTATTATTCCTAAAGTAATTTTTTTCGACACAAACAAAAAATTAATAATTTAATTATAAAAAATTAATAATTATATCTTAACAAAATAGTAGATGTACTTGATTAAATTAACCGGCAATTATATCAATCGGCAGAGATACTTAATATAAAATTTTTATCTGTATAATTTATTATTCATATTTTTCTTAATATAATTTTTTTTATATATATGTTAAGCAATAAAAAATTCTATTGACGTTAATAAAATAGACGTTAATAAAATAATACAGATAAGAACATGATAAGTTATTAGTCCATTAAATCAAATCTAAATTTGATCAAAAAGAGATCCTTTCAATTCGGGAAAACATTACGAGACTGATTCGAAATGAGAGGAATGATAATTACAACAATAATCTTATTTTATATCTTCATTATATATTTCTGCAACCATACGTTGCGTTCTGTTACTTTGTAAATTCAGGTAAATTTTCAGAATATGTATTTAATTTTAAATATTGAAGAAATACGCTCGTTTAATTCTTTTTAACATATAAAACATGATGTAAAAAGTCGAATTCATAATTTAATATACTAAAAAAAACAATTAAAAGTAACATTTCTAATGTTAAAGAATTTGTTACCTCGAAACAGTTACACAAGTATATGCTTTGACCAAAAATCAATGATTTGTTTACAAAACTAACTGAAGAAATCTAAAGACCATCTTGATACGGACTTACGCAAAAATGCTAAGAGAAACATCAAATAACATCTCCTGTACACATAAAAAATCCTCCTTCAAAAGTTTCATAATGTAAAACATGAGGTATAAAACGCCAAATGAGCATATTTCATAACTTTTCGCGGAAGATCCCAGATGTATATCTTAAACATTTATCGAAATTCAATATATTATTCTACTAATTACAAATAACGCAAGTTAGGGCAGTAATCTTATGTATAACAATACGAGCACGCGATACATACATATCGCGCTTGATTGATATATGTACAGTGCATGCTCACGATCGGCATCATTTTATGGAATCAGGTTTCGCCATGATCAAGCCGTGATCTCGAATGAAGGAATACGTTAAGCTAGGATTTAACGTTTTGACTGCCCGCTCGTGGATATCGCTGACTTTCTTTGGTTCTCCGTGCTGCATCTCGTATTTGATGTATTCTAACCAGATGGACGTGTCGTGAGTCCCGAAATCAATTATCGCCATTTCATAAGGCCGCCGCACATACTTCGGTATAGTCTCTGGCTGTATAAGCTCCAGCGAGATCATCTTCTTGTGGAATTCCAATGAAGTGAGAGGTTGAAGGTAGAGTTTGTCGTACGCCTTGCGAGCTGCACGAATACCTGAGGAAGAGCGAAAATAGATACAGATATCGTAGAAAAATCATTTCTCCTATTAATAGGAATATATAATATTTAAATTTTGATAACAAGGGCAAAGTAAAAAAAATTAATGTGATTACCTTTCGTTAAAACAAGCCATTCAAGCCACATAGTCTTAATATCTTTAGCGATTAGCGGATACTTTAAAGCCGCTTGAAAGCTCTCCTCGACCTCTTCCAAACTTTTTAGCTGAGTATGCAAGATTCGCATTTTCCACAAAGGTAACGCTTTCTCGCCTAATTTGTTCGTCACCTAATTCATAAAATTCTCAATATTGGCAAGATCAAATATATCGACAGTTTGCAAGATTTATTACCTCCGGAAACATAGCGTACGCTTCCTTCTCCAAACCACATTGCAACAAATGATTAAGCCGCGCGTGCCAAATACCGACGCCGTTTGGTATAATGTCAGTCGCTCCTTGTAGTACTTCGTCCAGTTTTTTTCGCATGCCTTCATCGTCCTTGTTCGACTCCTTGTCGGCGTTCAATATATCAATCTGAATGCGATAGCCATTTTTATATATTTTACAAAAGAAACAAATGTTACTCATTATTATTTCTAAACATTCTTCAAATTAAAAAGATTTCAATCTGATAGGTATTTCAATTGTGTGAAAAATTCAAGTAGACATTCTTAAAATAAATGTATAGAAACTATTTTTTTTTAATTTAGATATATGAATTGTAATCAAATTTAAGCAAGTATTGTTTATAATTATTAAATTGTGTATACTATGGATATTATGGAAATATTGAATACAAACCCAGTGTAGATAATGTTCTTCTTTTAGTTTTTTCACCCGATGAGCCTGTGTGAAGGCGGTTTTCAAGAGTTTTCTTTTCAAATTTGGCAATGATCGCATATTGCGATTAATTTCCAGTAAGCATTCTATGTACAGCGACCAGATTTCTGCAGTTTTGATTTTCTTTATAGCAGTCTGATATACTTCGATGCACGATGTGATGCGAGCCCTCAGAGATTTTTGATCAGCATTCTCCAATTCCATCGCTGTGTCACTAACTGGTTGCGCTAAGCCTTGCAATTCACGACGTGCCAATGTATCCCACATTAAAGGCTCATGAGCATACTCTCGAATCATATCGCTATAATTAAATTATATCTTCAATTTTTAACTATCGTAAACAATCATATTTAACAAGTTTACTATAGTGACACATGCGTATATATACCAAATGATTTTTAGCTGCAATGGCTTGGTGTTATCGTGTTCATTTGTGATGTTAAGCAAAGCTATTATAAATTTAATATCCTTAATACGATCAAAAGCCTGTTGGTATATGAAAAATGCCGTTTTCAATGGAACTGGAATTTCGCTATCGTCTGTTGTCGATACTGAATCAGTGTGGCCTTCCTTGTTCTCAGAGTTTTCAGCATTAGCAGAAGTTGTCTCAAAGCGATTGTCCAGTTCGAGTCTATAAAAAGAAATGCAGATGCATTTTAACTTTAAGTGATTGGAAGATTGCAAAAAATTGAGAAATGCACTTTGTACTTACTTGAAAGCATCAGTATATAACAATTGAGAGTTAGGATGAATCTGTAAACCTCTAAGGAGATACTGCCGTGCGCTATGCTTATTCTTATTTTCCTCCAATTCCCAATACGCTGCTATGTGCCAGCATTTTGGCTTATCTCTGTGTACTTGCAGCATTCTGCCTAACATATGGTTGATATTGCTGTGGAAGTGCTATGGAAATAAATAATGCATTAAATCATACAAGTACAATGAAATGACAATTTACTTATTTCGCTACCTACCACATGCTTACAGAACTTCATATAAGCAACCCAAAATCGAATATCATCTTGAAATTTAGATATCGCCTCTTTGTACAAGTTATTTATCTTATTAGTTATGCCATAGTCGATGACCGATCTCTTTTGAGTGATATCATATTTCTAAAAAAAAAAGAAAAAAAATTTAGAGTACATACAATTACTTATATCCATTATATAATACAATAAAGAAGTTGGTGCATTTTAGGTGATTTGAGAAGCACACAGGGATCGTTCATTGCGTTCACCTTTTTTATACTCAATTTTACTTGCTGAATTCGAAAATCTTAGTTAAAATTGTCTTGGTATCCTGGAAATTTCTTTCACATTTTGAACAGAAGAAAACAACAGTTGATTTTATCACATTTTCTTGAATCATATCTGTGAATTAACTCTTTGTTTTTATCTTATTTTTTATTTAATAGAAGTGTTCCTCTCATTTTAGATTTCTCGAAATCTACACATTAAGATTTCTCGAAATCTGGTAGACGAGGATAATTTTAACTACGATTTTCGAATTCAGCAAGTGAAATTGAGTAAGAAAAAGAATGTGAACACAACGATCTCTGCGTGCTCCCCAAATCGCCTAAAATGCATCAACTCTTTATATGACAAAGTTTGGATATAGTAGATACTCACATCCCTTCGT